TTAGCACAAGCTCTATTCAGCTGCGATATTCTCTTCATATATGATTCGATGGTTGCTCTGGCTTTCACGTTAGTGACTGGTCTCGTCGAAGAGAATGATGAAGATTCATTTTTCTTCGAGTGCTTAGTGTGACGATCAATTCGAGTGAATCCATTTCCGTGATGATACATCCATATGTTGCTAGGTTTTCTATCCCAACAAGGACAGTTTGCTATGACATGACTAAACTATTTGCACTTGAAGCACTTCATTTCCTTTGAAGGTAAGTTTCTCGAAGATTCAGGCAAATCGAGTTCGTCATCATTTGTGAGATACATGTTCTGTCTTCTGAGATCACTTATCCTTTCAGTGAGCATTTCTAGTTCTCTGGTGATGGTGTGTTGATTCTCGGCATCTTCTTCTTCGTGTGAACTGCCATAGTGCGATAGAATTTCCCCTTCACTTTCTAAAGAAGATTCTTGATCTCCATTTTCCAGTTCTATCTTTTCTTCATGAATAGACAGCAGTGTCATCACTTTGACATAGTGAAGTTCTTCAAAGTCTGGTCTTTGCTTGATTTTAGCTATTATTGGATCGAAAGTTGTGTCAAGAGCACCTAGTAGCTTGTCAACCACTTCTTTATCCGTGATATCTGTTACTCCACGCTGATGAAGTCTTTCAACAATGTTGGTCAACCGATCAGTCAGCTCCATGGCACTTTCCTTACGAAGACTTTTGAAACCAGCAAACATGGCACGAAGCATTTGAGTGTGAGAATTCGTTCTGGTAACAAATTCTTCATGAACATTTTGATGGCATCCCAGAGTTGCTTTGCAGTGTCAAGCTTTCGGAACCAATTCATAGATAATATCTTTTGCTTGTGCATTCAACCGTAGCACAGCTTTGTCATCAGAATTTGGAGCATCAGGGTGTTGAATGGTATATCCATTTTCCACAATCTCCCACAGATATGTGTTGATGGCTTCAAGTCTGATTCTCATTCTCTCTTTCCAGTAGATGTAGTCATTTCCATCGAAGTTAGAAATCTTTCAGAGTGCAAGGATCTACCTGCATATGACATACTCAAAACTCCAAGGACGTTAGACCTTTAATAAACAGAAACATGGAGTACCTGCTCTGATACCAATTGTTAGGACCGAGAGTATATCGACCAGAGGGAGGTGAATGGGAGATTAAAAAATTATTGTGAATGTTTTGATCTGATCCCAAACCCAGCAGCGGAGGATAAGGTTCGGTAGAAAAGAACTTAGACAAGCACTCTATTGAGGAACATATCTCTCGCTATAGGAAGCAATGATGGTGCGAGCATATGATATCACATGTTTGACAATGATGATGGTAATGCAATATGTGAATAGATACACAAGCATGATAGATAAACAATGATGAACAGAGAAGGAAATGTAGAACAACAACTAGATGAATGCAAATAGTACAGAGAAGAACACGAGACTTAATATGATAGGTTCGAAGAGATATATAGATACAAATGGAAACACTAAACAAAGAGATGATGGTATTGATGAGATGAACAACGAACAATATCACAGAAGATAAGAACGAACGATATGCAAAAGATAGATAGTGACCTGATAACTATCGACATAGAGCACAAGAGTAAGCTGCCGAATGTAATGCAGTAAAGTAGATTGAACCAGTGGTGCTCGATGGCAACTGAGAGATTTGGTAGACCAGTTCGCCCTTCTGCCAAAGGACTATGTCTGGTTGGAGGGGTTGTGATTTAACACAGAAGATAAACTCTCTTGGCCATATTCTCCTTCAACTCAGAGCTGATCAGAGTCTAGTTTATTTCACTCATGGTAGATACTTGTCGGCGATCTCCAAACCTTCGATCGACCTTCGCGAACCACAATGACTCTTGGTTCCTGAAGATCTAGCTCAGTGAAGACAACAACTCTTCAACACTCGAGCCGAAACCTATCCGTCTAGAGAGTTCACAACTCTCAAGAGTAATAGGTACAAGAACTCTAACTCAAAACTACTGTGATGCTCAACCACTGTCTAAGTTTGGGCTCTTGATTTTTCTCTCGGCGGATCTTAAATTCAAATCACTCAGAGAGGGGATGCTCAGTCAATCTTCTCAGAAACTTAAGCGGAGCAGCCAACAGACAATGTTGGAGCGGGGTGGCTATTTATAGCTGCAGCCTTCCCTGATGCGAAGTGACCAAATTGGACATGTGGAGCAGCCAATGGCCGAACGACATGAGTCCAACGGTCGGATTTTGAGCTCAATGGTAACATTACTTGCGGAGCAAGTAATGCTAACTCCCCAATTCGAAAGATATCTCCTGCGGCACGAAGAACAATGTATACTGCCGGCAGGTAATCATTCAAAACATAAAGAGATTTCTCTCAGTCTCGCATAGGTTTTGGGCTAAGCATCACATCGGATCTAAGCTTCGAGAACCTATACCCCTCTTAATAGTACAGAGGTCCTATGACTCAAATAAATGAAAGAAGAACAACGAAATGAATACTACGTCTTCACTTTGTCTTTGACTTTCATTCGCTGCAGTCATTTTTCTTCGGGCAGAAACTCCGAACCAATTGCTTCACGTCAGCAATAAATCTTCGAGATGTTAATTCCTTAACATCAATCTTCTCGCCTACATGTCTTCAACAAACGTAGCTCAACCTTCTCTGCAACGCAGATATTCTTCGAAGAAGTTCCTCGAACTTGGCACCGGAGACAGCATTCTCTTCGGTTCTGCATGGACTATTTCTCTCTATGTGCACTAGCAAACAAATCAGTCCATACATGTTTCTGTCAACAATCTCCAAAACACAGGAGGGCAAGCACCAACAATAATCCATTGCCCTAGAAGCAACAAGATATCTCACTTTGCAACGTGCCAAGAATATGCTAAAAAGGATGCGGATAGAGCTTTTGGTGTGCTTCAAAGATGCTTTACGACCGTTTGTGCCCCTGCCAAGTATTGCTAGAAAGGATGTTGAGAGAGCTTTTGGTGTGCTTCAAAGAAGCTTTACGATTGTTTGTGCCCTGGCCAAGTATTGGAAGTCGGAGACCGTGTGAAAGATCATGACAACATTTGTTATCTTGCACAACATGATCATCGAGGATGAGAGAGAGGACGCATAGGACTTTCGGTATCTCTTCAATGGTGTCCTGGCGGAGCTGGAACATAACGCAAACATGATCGAACCATTCCTCCAAGCACACTGTAGGATTGAGAGCCGAGAAGCTCACAACCAACTTCTAGAGGATCTTACTAAGCACCATTGGCGACTTCCTAGCCCTTGATTCTTGTGCTTATATCATGTTTATTTGTATTCTTCATTCATTTGGACCATATCTTGTCTTTCAATTTGAATGGTTAAGTTTAAAAATATTTGATATTTATTTGAATTGTGTGTACTTGAATTCTTAAGTTTTGAATTAATATGGTGTCATAAGTTTGAAAACGATTGGATGAATAAGCAAAAGAAAAAAAATTAAGCGGTTAAGTTTTAGGGGATCTACTAGATGAAGAAAACATCAATCCCCTAAATATTATAACTACTACTCCCTGTGTTCCTAAATATTAGTCTTTGCAGAGATTTCAAATGGACTACCACATACGGCTGTATATAAACATATTTTAAAGTGCAGATTCACTCATTTTACTCCGTATGTAGTCACTTGTTGAAATCTCTAGAAATACAAATATTTAGGAATGGAGGGAGTAGACGGTACTCCGCGCGTTGCTGCGGACATCTCTTGCAATATTTTTTTGATGAAATTTAAAATAGATATGATACATCGTATTTGATTATTATATAGTTGTCAATCTATATAGAATATAAGTAGTATTTTCCCATGCATGTTGAGAGAAATATAATTAGTGTGATTGATGAGGTGGCATGTATGAGAGTCGAGATGTGTGCATGCTGAGAGAATGTAAACACATAAGATTAATGATGTGCCATGTGCATATGTTGAAAGAATTGAGATAGTGGGGATCAACTATTTAGGTATATATGATTTAGGTTAGGGGATACATTTTAAATGACTTCCAAATTCAGAAGCATCAAGTTCTTTTGGAGTAAGTAGGAGAGCTGCCAAGATTCTAGAAGCTGATAGTTGAAACTGTTCAGTTTATTGAAGGAAAACCGGGTGAAAACATGTAGAGACACACCACACCTTGCTAAACTATCTCTCCCATCCTTGAGCATGGGAAAATATAGCTTGAGCTCAGCAGGCCCGACCAGGGGTTGTTAGGTCATGAGCCAAGAACAACTTTCTAACCCCCCGTCCCAAATTTTTTGTCTTCGATTGATCTAAATACAGATGTATCTAATACTAAAACATGACTTGATACATCCATATTTAGACAAATCTAAGACAAGAATTTTGGGACAGAGGGAGTACAAAGGTAATTCCTTCAAAGAAACACCGAAGAGGTTGCTGAAGCAATCCTCACACTAGCATATACATTCGGCCAAATCATCACTACCAAGTACATTCTGATAACTGTACTGAAGAAAAACAAAACATAATCTAAAAGGCTAGCAGACAATACCAAGAGCAGATAATGACTAGTGGAGCCTATCACAAATAGGCAACTAACGAGTTAGTGACATCGCTGCAACAACCGCCTTGTTGCCTTTGATAAGACCAAGAGAACGGGGAAATATAACATTTGCAATGCAGCAACAAGTGCAAGTGTGATCGATAGCTGAGACTTACGACACAGGCAAACAATAATTTCCACCTCATGATTTTGCGAACAGAAGCGATTATGCAGGCCAGATCACTAGCTTCAATAAGAAGCCAAGCCAGCAGCAGTTAAACTGAATTGCAGAAAAAAAGGAAAACAAAACAAATAAGGAACGAATTCCCCTGGCATCACATCTCTATACAGGTTCGTTTTGCAACAAAAACTGCCAGCAACACCCAAGGGTTTGTTCACCAATGCTTATTCCTCCTCGATATATCATCGTGTTAGAAGAGTACTCATCTTCATCTTCAGGTTGGTGACCTATGGGAGTGTAGCTCTCAACTCCTTTCTGTCTGCGCCAAATGACTGCATCATCAAGTAGTGCGTGTTAGAACTAGTTCATCAATCTCCTTGAATGTTCAAAGTGCAGCCATGGTTCAATCAGTACATAATCTACTATAGCACATAATCCCTCTGTATCAAAATGTAAGACGATTTTTGACAGTCATGGTGTCAAAAAACGTCTTATATTAAGTTACAGAGGTAGTACAGAAGAAAACATACTTTCAAGAGGCAATGAAAATTGTCGGTTATGACCAAAATCGTAAAATTTTAGTACTCCATCTAGTTACTGTGCAACGGCAATTGTGATTCAATTCTTTGCAACTTAAACTACTAGCGCAAAATGAGCAGAAACAAGACATTAGACTAAAATGCCAGTTCACAAGATTAAAAGCTGTGACCATCAGTCCGACAAGTCCAGAATGACTTCAAGATAAAAATGGTGAATTCACTTCGGAATAGCCTACATAAAATAGATCCGACATTAACTGACCTCAACGCCAAAACCCTTGACATAGACATTTGTAAAGAGCTCAGAAGCATCAGGCATAGGACTTTCCTGGAGATATTAATAGATGCATATGTAAGTGTTAAGCACAACTAATTTAGAGTGCACAAAAGGAGTATATCCAATTGCGATGGTAACCTTGGCTTTAGCAATGGCAACGTCGACTTCTTTCCTAATTTCTTTCTCCATGTCCTGAGATGAGAACATATTCATAGTACGAATTAGAAAATTCCTCTTATTTAAATGGTGATTCTGTAAATATGATTCTCACTTGCTATTTATACAGTAAACATAGCTGACAATTTTCAATACAATCTCATACATACCTTGAGCTCAGCAGGGGTTGCTAGGTCATGAGCCAAGAGCAACTTTCTAACCCTTTCAATTGGATCACGCTCCTGTTGGTACCACAAAACATATAATAGTCTGAAATAGAAATATTTGGTACAAAACAATGTTCAAACTAAAAGGTCACAACATTCCAACCTGTCGTACACCCGAGATCTCATCCCTGGTGCGGTAAGTGCTTCCTGGATCTGACATAGAGTGGCCGTGGTACCTATACGTGTCCATTTCAAGAACCTAAATAACGGGAAAATATTAGTAACTATCATGCACTACTAACAAAATAACTCCACTTTACAAAACTATCCCAAAATCATATAATTCACAATAGGTGGACTAATATGGAAATAATCACGGCCATATATAAGACGAGTGTAACTGCCCACGAAATTAAGTAGCAAAAAGAATCAGCAGCAGCCAAAATTAAATTAAAGTTAGAATCGGGTCAATCAGTGTTCACAGCTGTCATCAGCCATAAGCTAGTGCATAGCATTTCCATCTATACTTCATAAGTGAACGGGTGTTTTAGCGGTTAGCCGAAATTGACATGGCAAAACAATGTGATATTTGGGGTTCTGGAAACAGAACAATCAAGTGTTTCAATGGGAAATTATGGAAGGCAAAAGAAGATGGAATCAGTGTTAGATGGATTGATCATCAAAGTATACAGCCTATTTCAGATCCAAGTCTCCAATCCATAAATCACCTATATGGAACTATTGCAAACATATAATTCAAGCCACCTACTGTAGACAGCCATCAAGTGATGGACTAACAAGCAAGGCCAAATTCTTGGAGACAGATCCAGCAAATTATTAATGTCAGGCAAATCTGACACCTAGCAGATGATTTTTTTTTCAGGAGAAAATGGAGTGCAGGTAGATTAAGTTATTATAGTCTTAGGCATTAATCCTTGCTAAGAACCTAAGCAAGAAATATAAAAGAACGGCTAGCAGTGCACAGAACTAGGACAACCCTAACAAACTATCAAGCACTACACTGATATGCATATTTAAATTATAGAAGAAACAAAAATTGTTGGGCACTCACAATTGGGCCATTTGCAATGGCATGCTCCTTCGCAAATTTGCATGCCTGCTTCACAGCAAGAACATCCATTCCGTCGACCTACACCAAACATAATTTGAGGATGTTAATAGGACATAAACATGTAAAGGACAAATTGGCTCACAAATGCAGGTTAAAACAAAGACATAGTTTGAAGTGTAACCCAACTCATCAATGACAATAAGCTAGGGAAGATGAAGTCCTACTCCTAAGTAAACATTGTAGCTCCTATACAAACATAGTAACTTACGACAAATTAAAGCTGCCCTCAGGTAAACATAGTAATGAATAAATTATTGAAGAAACTACTTCCTGTACATGTTGGAACAGCTAGGCATGAGTGAAAATAGCATAGTGAACCAATTGTATATCCTTCGACCAAGGAAGGCCTCTTCTGTAACTCAAAAGACATACTCCCTCCGTCCGGAAATACTTGTCATCAAAATGAATAAAAGGGGATGTATCTAGATGTATTTTAGTTCTAGATACACCCCTTTTTGTCCATTTTGATGACAAGTTTTTCCGGACGGAGGGAGTATATAGGTAGAATCTATGAGGTCAACCCTTCATTTAAAACACACCAAAAGAAATCAAACATAGCACGCAGAGTAATAAAATTCACTATGCTAATCAACCCTCATCAATCCATGCACAATGATGAGCAAAATCAACCAAGAGGGATTTGAAATTACCTTCAATCCAGGCACATAGTCACCACGCTTGTAGTAGGAAGGGCTCTTCGCCGCCCTCCACTCAGCCGTTCCCATCCCGTCTGCATAACGAAAGAGGCGACCAGATCGCGTCACGTCAGATGAATAAAACAGGCATCCAGATGCAATCCGAATTTCCTACGATCGGCGGACGAACTTACAATGGTTGTTCTCGCAGACCAGTATGGCGGGCAGCTTCCAGAGGGCCGAGATGTTGAGCGCCTCAAAGAGCTGGCCCTGGTTCGCGGCGCCGTCGCCATAGAGGGAGAAGGAGACGGTGTCCTCCTTCCTGTACTTCTGCGCGAAGGCGAGCCCGCAGCCGAGGGGCACCTGGGCGCCGACGATCCCGTGGCCCCCGTAGAAGTTTGCGTCCTTCTTGTAAAAATGCATGGATCCGCCCTTGCCGCGGGAGCACCCGACCTGGCGGCCCATGAGCTCGGCGAAGGCGGTGACGAGGTCGCCGCCGCGGGAGAGGAAGATGCAGTGGTCGCGGTAGGCTGTGATGATGGAGTCCTTGCGGGTGATGGCGGCCTCCATGCCGGCGCAGACGGCCTCCTGGCCGTCGTAGAGGTGGCAGAATCCGCGGATGAGCTTGGCCTTGTAGAGCGAGTCGGCGGCGATCTCCATGCGGCGCATGAGGGACATGTCGTGGAAGAAGGCGACGAGCTCGGCGGGGGTGGTGGCGACGTCGCGGGAGGGCGGGTCGACGATGTGGGCCGTGAAGGGCATCGAGGTCTCGATGGTGAGCGGCGCCGTGGAGTCGGAGATCG